CACCCACCCCTCCCCAGCTCCCACCCCTCCTCCAGGACCAGATCCTGCTGGATGATGGGCATACCTCGCTCCCACTGAAAGCAGCAAGGAGACGGTGCGCTCAGCCCCTGGCAGCATCATTCATCCGGAGGAAGAGTGTAGGGAGATATTTGGTACCTCGCAGCCAATTGGAGGAGAGGTGACACCGAAAGGGGGGTGCTCTCAGCTGCTCTCTCCACCCCCTCTCTCCATAACAACCCCCTCCCTGTCACCACCACCACCGCCATCCTCCTCACACACAAAAGCAGTGCAATTAGCTGACTTAAGAGAGCTGAGGCTTAGCCAGCTGCAAGCGGAAAATAATAATAAAATACTTTGGAGGGGAGGGAGGCAGCAGAGGAAGCAGCAGCCATGGAAGAATACAAATAACTGCCCTCAATTTCCGCCCCCCCCAAACAAAATCCAAATCACGAAGCAACGAACGACTGCTGTGAGAAAGGCCGACCTAGATGCATCCCCACACTCCTCCGCTGAGAAAGCCACACACATCTGCATCCGAATCCAGGCACTGGACCTCCTGAGCAGCCCGTCTCCGTCAGGAGGAATGCCTAGCTGGGATACAGGCAGAATCTTCTTTGTTCCTCTTTAGCCACAAGCATCGGTGAGTACAGCATCATCTGGGCTTCCATACTGCTGGGCAATGCTTGATATTAAGAAACAACAGGATCCAGCCTGGGATTTGCTTCAATATCCTTCCTTTCTCTTCCTCCCTCCATGATGCCTTCAGGGTTAGCAGAAAGCAGATGACAGCGGTGGGGAGGAGGGAGGGAAGGTGGGGTCTCTCTGAGCCCCAAGGTATCTTCTTTGCTGTAGGGAAATCAAAAATGGAGACATGTGTGACGGTGTCATGGGCATCGCATGCAGCCAGGCGTCGGGGTGAGGACAGAATGCATAATATGCGTGCTGGGAGGAAAGGCTGAGAGACACCGGGCAGAGAGAGAGCCCTGCAATGCTCACAACCAGCAATTTGCTCCGATTCCTATCTCTGCCAGCGCCTGTAATAAAGACGGATGCTGGATTTACTCAGGCCTCTACGTAGCTTCATTCCTTTAAAGCAGATACACGCAGACAGATTTATCTCCCTCCAGATCATCACCAGCAACACCCTCTGTAAATACAAGCCTCCAAAGGAAGCAGAAAAAGTACTGGGTCTCTAGAAGAGCCGTATAGCAATGGGTCAGACTCTGCTAGATGCTGATTTCCCTGACACCAGGGGACGGACAGAGTAGCCCCATTCCCTTGGGAAATCACCCTAGGTCTCTTATCCTAAAAAAAATATGTTACTATCCAGCCAGTGCCTGGGTACATTTACAGCGTAAAGGCTGAGCTCAGGAAGGACATTCAAAACTGTCCTGCAGTGGTTGGGTTAATGCATGCGCCCAACATACGAGCTGATTTCACTTGAACATGTTCCGTATAAGATAAGGCCTGACCTTGTCCCCTCCAGACTTAGGTGCTACTAAGCTCAGCTGCAGCAGCATCCAGCTGAGAGCAGCATATCTGCCCTCTCCAACCAGAGCTGGTCCTGAGCCCTCAGCCAGACTTTGTTAGGAGCTGCAGGTGCAGTCCCTGGGAAACAGGTACAAAGGTCTGGGTTTTGCTGGCTGGCGGCGTAGGAACCTTCTAGTGAAGGCAAACAACATATATGGTCCTAAGGGCCCCTCGCACTGCTGGGGTGCTAGCACGAGTGAAAACAAGGCTCGCTGGATTTGGACTTCTCCTGTTTACACCAGTGCAGGAGAAAGCCCAGACTGGGAACAGCACACCCATCTTGCCTCCATTTGAGGTGCTCCAGATTTTGGCATCTGCTTTGGTTTACCTGGGAGCAAGGCAGAGATGTTAATTCTTCAGGGGTGTGGAAGGACATTCAACATCCCTGTGAAGGCCTCCTTGCCCTCCTCCGTTTCTCTCTGGGTGCAGGGACAAGCGTGGGGATGGAGCACAGACCAAGCAGCAGCAGTCAGGGATTTCTCTACAAAACCAAAGCCATTAACTTCTGCCCGGGCCAGCAAAATGGAACCCAGTGCTACTGCCAAACCAACCTGAAACCAGCTGGAGAGGAGCTCTTTCTTCTCTTCCGTCTCAGCCACATTTCATTTCCCTCAGCAGAGCTGTTTGTTAATGTTGAGATTAGTATTGGAAGAGAAGTAGCAAGGGGAAAATGGGTGAGCATCAGCTCCGATGGTGTTGATCCTCAGGGAGAAGAGCTAAGGTCACCACAGAGCAGAGAGATACCTGTTGCTTTGATCCAGGGCCACCTCACCTCCTCTTTCTTGTCCAAAGCGTGTCAAGTAGCCACAAAACCCCATGTCCTTGCCTTGTTCCTTTTGCACAACAAGCAGCTATCACGCTGCTTCTCTGTAGAGCATGGTATCGGCATACCTGCTCTGAACATTTCAGATTAAATGCTCCCCAGTGGTGATGCTCAATGCCAACCTCTCTACCTTCCTCCTTCCAGCCTGCGCCCTTCCTCAAGGGAGCCGCTGTGTAACCAGCCCTTCTCTGAGCACGATGGGAACCACAGAAGCCACTTTGCGGATGGAGAATGTGGATGTGAAGGAGGAGTGGCAAGATGAGGACTTCCCCAGGTTTGTTCCCTGAAAAAAAGCCAGGGAGAAATTTTATTTCTTCCTGTAAGAAACCAGCAGGGCATGGGGCGCGCAGGTCCCTCCCACCGGCCCTGGATGCAGCAGGAGTCTTAACTCCAACGGGGCAATTCTGGCCAGAGAACAGAGCTTTTGTAGCAAGGCTGCTCTGAATGCTTAGAAGATTTTGGGAGGCTTCTGGCAACCCTCTGTGAGCATATCAAGGAGAGGGTAAGGAGCTGAGTGCAGAGGACAGGAAGATCAGCATGGATGGATGGATGCATATAGGGATGGATGGATGCATATAGGGATGGATGGATGCATGCATATAGGGATGGATGGATGCATGCATATAGGGATGGATGGATGCATATAGGGCTGGACAGATTGACTCCTTCCCAGTCTCTGGATCAAGCAGTGTCTCCCCAAACAGAGCAACGCTGCTTTGCCAGGAATTTGCCACAGGAAGCAGAGCCATTGGGATGCACTGACATGCAGAATCTGAATGGTTGCAAACCTTGTAAGAAACGATGTGTGGGTGACAGAGGGTGCCGAAGTGGCAGCTTTCACCTTCACAGGCACTTTATTAACTGCACAGAATGCTGAAAAAAAACCCTGTAAGCTCAGTGTGCACTGAACTCCCTGCAGCCACCCAAAGGGTGCACCCACCCTCATCCCTGCCCCAGCACTGCCCCACACACCCAGCACTAAAGCCCACAGCCCAGCAGCAGCTCACTGGGGCACACACAGCATGGTCAGCCCCAAGCCTTGCTGCAGCTAGGGTCCGGGCTGCTGAGGGGCTTTTCAGGGCTGTCTCGCTCTGTGCCAGCTGCAGCTGAATTCCCCCAGGCAGCCCACAGAGCCCCTGTATTCACAGACAGTGGCGCAGTATGCTCCGCGGGTGGGCACGCACAGCCCCTGCAATGCTAGAAAGGGTCTCCTGTTTCCCTCGGCACCAGCAGATGAGCTTAGCTCTGTTTACCACGGGTCCAGCTGCATCGCTAATCTAAGCACCTCTGTCTGCCTACCCAGCACCTGGCTCACAGGACATGGCTTGTCCTTCCGCTGGCCCCAGAGGTGGGCTCGGCCAAGCCCTTGGGTTTCTAGAATGGATTTTTCTTTCCTGAGAGGAGAGCTGGGCAGAGCTTTGGGCTGATGGACCTCTGCCAGCCTAAGGCTCCTCCAGAGTGCTGTGCTGACAAGCTTTTAACTGGGTAGAGAGGAGAGCGAGGTATAGAGAGGAGAGTGAGGTATAGAATCATAGAATGCTTTAGGATGGAATGGACCTTAGAGAGGAAAGCGAGGTATAGAGAGGAAAGCATTGACGCAAGGCTCCCTAGAAAATCTGGGGACAAAGCTGTGCTAGACCTGGACACCTGTGCATTAACCCGCACCATCATGTTGGAGCAGGAGCTGCCAGGCTCCGTTTCACGCTTGCCATGCAAGCAGCAAACTTACCCCAGCCATGGTCAAGGAGCAGCAGAGCCTTCGGACCACCTAACACCGGCATCATTGCTCCTGCCTAGCAAACGAAGCACAGGGAGAGGCAAAGGGATGTGACCCTGGCTGGGTGGCAAGGCAGTGGCAGGGACAAGGCCAGAGCCCTACGAACAAGCTCCCCAGCCTGCTGATAGACTGCTGCAGAGGGATTAAATCAGGAATGATGCAAGTGAAATAGAGCCCAAACAGCCACTAGGCAAATGAGTGAATGCTAGCTGTGTTTAACTGGCATTAAAAATAAATAAATAATAATTTTCAAGACACTTCCCCCTAGAAGCATTAAAATAATAGGGCAGAAGCTGCTGCATGTGGGACAGTAGCTCTCTAGCAGATGATTTGCTGCAGAGCTATTTTTGCTTAGCTGTGATTAACCAATCTTGCCACAAAAAACTCATATCCTAGACAAAGATCTGGGCTGGGGGAACTGAATTCAGCTGCTCATTAAGGACGCAAGGCAACATTCCCATCCCTCCCTGAGAAGCTGATTTGCAGAACAAGCTCCTGCCTTGCAGGCTGCAAAGGTGCAATGCCAAGGCAGTGAGCAAGCAGCAAGGAAAGGGTTCCCCCTCCTGCTGCTCCCTGAAGGTTTAGCCTCCTGTCGACAGTCTGTCTCGGCTGTTTGTGCAAGTGCTGTCCTGCAATGATGCTGTAGCGGTGCCGCGGGGCGGATACAGGAGCATGCTCACTCCATCACGCATCCATCGGATCACGGTTGGTAAAGGCTCGGGCTGGTTGAGGCCCGAGAGAAGGGGCTTACAGAGGGAAACTGGGCAGCACACTATCAGCAGAAAGCAAAATGGTGGCACCCGACCCTTAGAAAACCTGCTTCATTCAGAAAATTTGGCATCTGGGGCTAGCCGTGTTTGGGAAGGAAGATTTACACGGGAGACTGGGAGGCAGTGATTCGAGCATCCCTTGGGAAGGTAAGAAAGCCCTTTTCTCCACCCCTGACTTTTGAATTGCTTTTCTTAAATGAATCCTAGCATCGGAGAACAGAGTGCCTGACTGCAGCACGTACTCGGGTACAGCTGGGCCTTGCCCCCCCCCCTTTTGATGCTGTATCACCAAGTTGTGCCAGGCGCCAGCTCACAGTCAGATAAACAACCAGCCAGGCCCCGTTTAAGACAAAAGCAAAAGGGAGGAGGAGAGGCAGGAGGGGGGCAGAGGGATCTTTCTGACTGCTCAGGAATATTGTGGCAGCCCACAGGATCCGGGTGCTGCGCAAGCGAGCAAGGGGCAGGTGCCTTTGATCAGGTCTTCAACTCTCATAAATATACAACAACCAGCTAGGAGAGGATTATTGCTTAATCTAAATATTTATAGGGTTTAATTTGGCTGGTAGCTCTGGTGTCATGGCAGCACGAAGAGGAGCCTTTGTAGGGCAGAGCTAGGCTGTATCCTCGGAGGTACCAGTCCCCATCATCTCCCTCCCTGCCATCGCTGGACTGTAGGGCCAGCAGCTGCTGGCCACCAGCCCTGTGCACAGTCCCATCCCCATTCTTACAGCACTGCCTTCAAAGTGGTGGGTTTTCCCCCACGTTTCACCCCAGGGTTGTCCCCACACCCAGGATTTTACACCTGGAGGCATGAGCTCTTCCCCCTGTTGAGGGGGAGCTTCCAGCCAGGGGCAGGTGAAACGAGGCTGGCTCAGAAGGGCGCTTTTAAACAGACCTTTGACATCATGAACTTATCATGGGGTTGGTGGGGTTTGGTCATGCTGCACAAGAAGTTTCAAACCCAGCTGATGCCAGAAGACAGGCACAAGTCCCAGCTCAAATTAAGGGGAAAAGTGTTCAGAAAGTGTCCAGCTCAGGGTGGGCAGCGTGCTGCTCAGTCACCACCTAGGGTTCCTCACCGCAGTACTGGGGGCCAGATTCTAGCTTCACTTACCCCAGTATGGGTCAGGAACAACTCTAGCAACTTCCAAAGGGCGACAGCCACATAATGAGATTTGGCATTAGCATCTGTACAGGAAAGCCAATTTTTAAATCAATTGATGCTTCCAGCCTCCAGCTGGAGGCATGGTGACTTATACCAAGAGGGTGTAGGAGCCAAGCAGGAGAAGCTGCAAATCCTGACCTCTGCCATGGAGCCCCAGGAAGGGAGCGTGGGTCAGCCTTCGGCTCCAAAATATGGGTTGAGTGCTGATGCCTGGATCTTAGCTCAGAATGAATCCGCTTCCAAACCTCAGCAGGGTTTGGGTATCACTGTCAGCTTTTGCCAAATGGGGGCTGAGGTGAGGATGGGGTGACAATTCTGGGATGACGCCTAAGGTTTGATCCTTGCCTTGAACGTTGACTGCCTTAGAGCAAAGTGGTTGTGGCAGATTTTTTGGATAAAGTTCTGCTTTGCTGCAGCCAGGGCCTGTGGCAGAAGGCAACTGCAGATGTTGTTCCCTGGTACCCTTGATAAGGAGCCCTAGAGCTTGGCACTGCCTCTCAAACTTCTGATGAAGATAAAAATGGGGATAATATGGAGAGAGTGAGGATGTTACCAGGCTCTTCTGGGGACAGGATTTGTTCCCGTGTCCCTGGCTGGATTTTCCAGCTTCTTGGCTGAATGGCAGCATGAGAGATGTATTGGGAGGGGGGGAGGCTGGGTGTAAACGCTGGGATAGTTTGGAGGTTACTAGGGATTGCACAGTGCTCCAGTAAGAAAGCACAGCTGCTGGGTTGCTCTTGGGCAAATCACCTGAGGGTATCCCTCAGGCTGAGCTCACAGGCAAAAGGGAAAGGGCAGTGCACACATGGGGTTGCATGGTTTTCCATGATGTCCCCAGTTCTCTCCACTGTCTGCTGTGGAGTGACTTTCTCCTAAACATCACCTGTTATCTCCTGGTTTTTTACCTCCGTATCTTGGCTTGCCTGCAGACCTCTCCCAGAAGAGACGGGGATGGAGTCGCTGGGCAGCCCTACAGAAGACGAGAATACATCCTGTAAGTACCAGCCTGCCTTATCAGGAGTTCAAAGGAAAGCAAGCCTATGGGAACGGCAGCTTGCAGTTAGGGCGAAAGCCAGTTCCCTTGGAGTATCCACAAAAATTCCCATACGGGAGAGGAAACCAGCAGAGATTTGAATTTCCTAATCTCACAAGAAGCTGGGGGAGGAAATAGGTATCTCAGAAGCGTGGGCACTTTTACCCAGCCATACCTGCGGGCGTCCAGTACCTCCCAGCTATGATCCACCACCCTTAGCTTCCAAGACCGTAGCCTGAAACACACATAATGAAAGCACCATGTCTTGCACTAAGGATACAGGATGAGGACAACCTGTCAGTTATTTTCCTTTTAACTCCAGCTCCCCCAAATACATTAAACTTTAATGGGGCACATCGTAAGCGGAAGACACTTGTTGCACCTGAAATCAACATTTCCCTGGACCAGAGCGAAGGCTCCATTCTCTCCGATGACTTCCTGGACACACCAGATGACCTGGACATTAATGTGGACGATATTGAAACTCCTGATGAGACAGATTCCCTCGAATTCCTGGGGAATGGGAACGAACTGGAATGGGAAGGTAAAAGGCCGGTTTGGGGTGAATGTCTGCAGGGGTTGGGGCTTTTTTTAGCCTCATTTTAACCACTTTTGACACCACTCACCATCAGCAGCTGAGGACCGACTTCCTCAGCAGTGAAGCGCAGCACACACAACCAAGCCCCATCTTCCACACAACATCTGCCCCAGCAGGACCCCAGTTATAGCCCAGGAGTCTCAGCACTTCCATCTGGGGAGAGTGTGGGCAGAAGTAGTTCAGGGACTTGCAAACATCAGCCTAGCCATAATTCAGGACAAGGCATAAGGCTGCGGACATACATGCCCTTCCAGCTGCAGCTGGGCCACCACCCCAGGCTGGAAGGTCCTGCCTGCTAGGCTCTGCCAGTAGAGCTGTCACGCGATTGTTCAAACATCTTGAATAACATGGTCTTTGCTAACCTGGCTGATTTTGACTGAATCGGGCTAAGAAGGTCTCATGCAAGCAGCTCTGCTAGCAGATCAGAAGACAACTGGCACAGGCGGTGCCCTTTTCAGCCAGTATAGATGGATCTGAGGGAAGATCCCGCAAAAAGTCCAGTGCCCGACCCGTGACTGCAGGTACTATAAGCAGCATGAGATGTTAAGCTTATTTCTATTACAATTCGGCAATGGAGTAAGATTATCAAGAACCACAAACTTACACATATCAAAGCTGCAGATGAAACAGATGATCCTCAGTCTGGGGTTGTTACTGTCTCTTAGCGCACACCAAAGCTCTTGCAGAGCCTCTTTGCGCGTGATATTAAAGGCAGAAATGTCTGTCCCTTTTCCAGATGACACTCCGGTAGCCACAGCCAAGAACATGCCTGGGGACAGCGCAGACCTGTTTGGGGATGGTGGGACAGAAGATGGGAGTGCTACTAATGGACGGCTCTGGAGGACTGTCATCATCGGAGAGCAGGAGCACCGCATCGACCTCCAGATGATCAAACCCTACATGAGAGTGGTAACGCACGGAGGTGAGGGAGAGGGCGACCTAATCCTGGCTTGGTGGATTTCTTTCAGTCCATCTTTGTCAAGCTGGAGTGGATGCCATGACTGATTGTTTTGACTGACTGTCTTTAGGGAAAAATTGCTATTTGTTTTGTACCGCTATGTGGCACATATGCACAAAAGCATTGAGCTCATGCTAAAAACATATCGCCACTGTAGCAATGTTTCACTAACAAAAGTAGGGATAACGCTGGCTCTGAGCAAGACTGAATATACCCTGACCCTCAGCCCTGGGTGTGGGCAGCATTGCCAGTGGTGAAGGGACTGCGGGTGCTTAACCCCTCTGTAGCCACAGCTAAAGGCCCATACACACAGTGACCAGTGCTGAAAGCTGAGCAAAGCCAAGCAACGACCCAGGGCAAAGCTCTCGGCTCTGTGCTTTGACACACACAAATTCCTTCCCTGAACCCCACCTGCATGTGATAGCCAAAACCAGAATCGGAGGCAAATCTAATTGTGAAAGAGATCCGCAAGAAGGACAAACAACTTACCTAGAGCTGACCAGAGGCACAAAAGCCAGCCCAGGCCCAAATTTGGCAATTCATCTTCACTGCTGTTTTCCCTTCAACTCTCGCGTCTCCCCCTGGAAAGAGTCACTGATGCTGCCTGTGTCTTTCTTTCCCAGGATACTATGGAGAAGGCCTCAATGCCATCATTGTCTTCGCTGCCTGCTATCTCCCAGACAGTAACCTGGCTGATTACCACTACATCATGGAGAATCTCTTCCTGTAAGTGACTGGTCAAAGTCTAGGAGGGAGAGGAGGGCAAGGAAGGTAACTCGGGCTCTGGGGAAACAGTTTCCATGTATTCATTGCACCAGGAACCTCAGCTGGAAATAGGTTGAATCCAGGCCAAATGTACCCAGTGTGCAGCTGCAGACTGGAGCGAGCATCACTGGGTGAGACACTGTCCACAGCATTTGCATCCAAGTCCAATAAGTCAAAGCATTCAAACATTCAGTGTTAATTATGCTAGTGATGGACTCACAACCAGGCTAGAGCATACGTATACAATGTTGAACAGCTGGTAGATGCTACTGCTAGGCAGAAGAATGGCGCAGGGATGTCCATCAGTGTACACACTATATTAACACATACCAGCAATCCCGGAGGAATACCCCTAGGTATCCTGCAGAGGCACCAGGAGAATCTGAAACCTATTCCAAGGTCTACAAAGAAAGGGTCTCGAGGCCTTTTGGGATGACACACAGGCACTTAAAGAAACCTCAAGGGACCTTTTTTGAGTCTCATGTCCCCGTTGCTTTTGATCACTGCCCAACAGATACGTGATCAGTAGTCTGGAGCTGCTGGTGGCTGAGGACTATATGATCGTGTACCTAAACGGAGCAACACCCCGGAGGAGGATGCCAGGCCTTGGCTGGCTGAAGAAATGCTATCAGATGATAGACAGAAGGTGAGAATCCTGTTGGTGCTTCCTCTTGATTCTTCCTGGTCCTCTTCCCACTACACTTCCTCACAGCTTTCCCAGCCACCCCTCCTTCCTTGCTCCCCACATTCTGTAATCCCTTCCTCTGTCACAGCTTTCTCACTTACTCCAGGCTCTCTTCATCACCTCTTCTCCCTCCTTCCCTCACAAGCACCTTCACAAAGACCAGGCAACCACAGCACTCAAGCAAAGCAGTACTCCTACAGCATGCCAGGTCTGAGCTTAAATAGGGTTCCTAAGGCCATGGGCAGGGCTTTTGCCTGGAGACACCCAGCTGAGGCTGCTGAGCATCATCACGCTTATTAATGCCCTGACACATTACAGGTGAGTTTAAGAAAAAGTAGTTTGAATCTGACTTTCTGTCCTACGGCTTTTCCACAGGCTGCGTAAAAACCTCAAAGCGTTGATAATCGTGCATCCTTCATGGTTCATCCGGACAGTGCTGGCTATATCCAGACCCTTCATCAGGTAAACGTAACATGGTCCCAAACTGGGCTGGTTTTGGAGTGGAAGTTTAATCTCATGAATCAGATCTTAAGCTCACCTTTAACTAGTAGCAACCAAGGTGAGACTGTTCATCGTTTGTCCTACATCTCTCTGATACTTCCAAGGACAACTCTAGAGGTGGTTTTAGGAGACACTGTGGTGGTTTGGATCCAGGTCAAAGCTTGTCCCACTGGGTAGCGCATAAAGATTTACTGGGAGACGCAGGAATGGTGGTCCTTTTTCCCTCCTACAGATATTGAGAGGTGGGGGTCAAAGGAAAGCGAGGTACAGTAACGCGGCATCTCACCACAATTTTTAGGCATCAGCGTATTAGCACTGGGAGAAGATGGGTACACTCAAACTGCAGAGCATACAGAGATGCAGAACTCCCCGTTTCCACCAGGAAAATTCTGACTTCCTATGGAGAGAACATCAAAGCAATTACTCTTTCTCTCTCTCTGCCAGTGTGAAGTTCATCAATAAGATCCAGTATGTTCACAGCCTGGAGGAACTGGAGCAACTTATCCCAATGGAGCACGTACAGATTCCAGACTGCGTCTTACAGTGAGTATCAGAGGGACCCTGGGGCACACATAGCTCTGAGGAGGCGCAGGACAAAAATCCTCTGTAGCAGGATATTGTGTTGAGTCAAAACCCATGTACTGGAAACACAGAGCCTGGGGCAAACCTTATCTTACCCGTATGCTGGTGCCAAGCACTGTGCTAGTTTGCAGTTTCTGTCACCTTCAGAGCAAACATTGCATTTTACTAAGAGTGAAGAGTCCTGACTGGGTAACATTTAAAGAATGTTTCCTGCCTGTTGCAGATTTGAAGAAGAGAGGATCAAGGCCAGAAAAGAAAGGTAAAATTAACTTGGGGGGGAGGGGGGGGTGGAGGGGGGGTTCGTTTTCTTGGGATGTTGTTGCTCTCTCTCATCATTATTTACATTATAACCAGCCAATTCTCTCTTCCTCCTACCCTGATATCCCACACAGCCTACCTTTGCTTTCTACTGATTTTCTCAAAATAAGCAAAAGCTACAGGAGGGAGGAGAAGCTTGATTAAAAGGTTATTTATCCATAGAACCATTCCTCTTAACCCCACGAGTGCACACATCCTGAACATGCAACGTATGTGCTAGCAAAGATCATCAGAAATGACTCTGTATAAAACCAACACATTTTCCCCATACGACCATGCAAACTGACCTTAAAGTGAGAGCTAGCGCTTGTTTTAAAAGCCACTTTGTTCTGCTAGAGTGGCATAAAGAGGGCCATTAGTTTACAGTTTGTTTTGTTTCATTTTCTAGACCCGATTTAGGTTAGAAGTGCTGGCCATAAGCAGCGATAACAGTCGGCTGGGCTAAAAGCAAAAGGCAATCGCGGACAGAGGAAATACCAGCTGGGTCAGCACAAGAGCGATGCGCTATAATAACACCTCCTCGTGCAGGGAACTGAATGGGAGATGCCCGTTCGGGAGGAGTCAGTTCATTAGCTGCTGAAAAGCCAGTTGTCCGGCCCAAGCTAGTCAGCTGCCTCCCTCTAGGGCCAACACGGGCATCCTGAGAGCGTTCGGATTATCAAGGCGGTGTCTCACAGGGACAAGAAGCTAATGGTCATTCTGATCAGACCTGTAACTTCTGTCCGAGATCCAGCTATCTCCTTAGAAAGGCCTTAGATACTCTACTCTTTCACACTGCTCACCACTAGGTGATAGATTTCAAATGTGATTTGCATTTACAGGGCAGAAGAGAAACAAGACATGGCTGAGAAGGAAAGGTACCTACTCTTTTTTTATTTATCCTTCACTCACAAAATAGCTTAAAGAGTCTTTGGGGAGGAGAATGGCCCTATTGCTTGGTAGCACCCCCTGGGGAACCACTCTCAAACGTTTGGACCCACCAGGACGTTTCTCAAGTGGCTGGGAACTGATAAAGCCTCTCTTCTCCCTAACAGCTCCCCGTGCCATCGCTTTTGTGCTGCTATTGACCTTCACCTATGCGAATGGATTCCTGACACTGCTTTTTACCTCTATAAAGCTAGCAAACCCATTTGGTCATGGACCAGAGCCAGAGGCACCAGGGAACGTTCTCCTGACATTCAGTTGTAGCATTTGCATGATGGTGCAATGAAGAGGGCCAAATACTGCTGTCAGGCACATCTTGGGTGTGCATAAAAGCAAGATAGGAGGCTGTAACATTAGATGGGACGGAAAATTCTAGGGAGGTTTGGAAGACAGTGTCAAAATCCTATGCCAGGTTAATTTGGCCTGGTTTTGGCTCTGCTTCAGAGTGATATAGCCTCTCTTTTTTTTTATTCTATCTAACTAGCTCCTGCGGGGGAAGAGTGCATATTTCTGCTATTCTTTTCCCAGAGAAAAAGGAGCTTTGATTGAAATTGCCAAGGTCCATTGGATGAGTCTGAATTGTTCCAAGAAACAAATGGGACCTCAGGGCCCAAAGAGAGGGCGGTTAGTTTGTGCTGGAGATTCACTTATTTTTTTGCTGGTTCTCTTCCAAGCAGGCCTGTGCCCCCAGCAGAGGATCAAGAAACCAGGTTTGATTTGTACTTCACTCTCTCATTCGTCTCTCTCTTTGTGATTGGTTTCATTGTGTTTGTAATCCACTAACAGGAAAGGCAAGACTGGGTTAGACCCAGGACCTCTTTAGCCCGGTGCCGCTCACCTAGCCCAAAAGAGGCATCAGCCACTTTGCAGCAGCGGGGTACGAAACCGGGAAGCTGTTGACACCTTCACCCCGCTGCACTGCGGCTGCAGTCGCAACCGCTGCAGCTCATCCCAAAGCACGGATCGGTCACAATTGCAGCTGCTATGGAGTCACTTGAGAAAAGCTGCCCCTCAATAAATTACCTGGCATTTGCCACTTGGTAAACACGTGCACACAGGAAGGTAACTGCAGAGCCGCCTTTATCCTTTTTCATGGTCCTGTACACTCAGGAAAAGTCCTTAGAGAAGAAGAAAGCCCATTAAAGCTATGAGTGATGTTATCTTTGGCCCCGGTACACTTTTGTAGAGGATTACACCCAAACATACTCATATTTTTTGACATAGTGGGAATAATAAAATTTATACTACAATTTGCTTTCTAAAAATAACTCTGTCTTTCTGTTCCTTCTCAGTATGTCATGAATCGAAGTAGAGTGGAATGAATGGAGTAGAAGAATGATGCAGCCTGGCAGTCACCCACGTAAATGACCTTTTGGTATAAGACCTTGCCGCCATCTTATTCCAAGTTCTGTAAGATCACGGAGCCTGCCTCCCCTGTCTCCAAGATGCAAAGTCCTTTAAACTTTTTGGAAACATTTCACTTTAAAAAAAAAAAAAAAAACAAAACACAAAACAAGCCAAGAATAGCACTTTTCAGGACAAGTTCCAGTGTGTTTCAATAATGGTCTGTGGAGAGCTATTAAGTAGTGCAAATAGATACCATGTTTCCTCTTAGTAAGTTAAGAGCATCCTGTAGTCCATTAGTCACAAGCCCAGAAAGAGATATATTTTTTGTTTAAATTATAGTCCCTTCCCCTAACTTGCTGCTGGCCAGCACCGAGACATTTTACTTTAAACTGCACAGCCAGTTTCCTCCGTAGAGACATTACAACAGCCAGTGCCCCAGGGAATAACTAATGCAGGCAAAGAAAAGAGTGCATTTTCATCCCTTCTACAGCCAGTGTGTTTCTTCCTGAAAATACCAAGTGCCCACCGGTCTAGGCACCTCTTCCAGCCTTGACCGCCTCCATTAATTCATTGCCAGTTCCTCTTATTAACTCACACCGAACCATTCCTATAAGTAAATGCCATGTTTTTTTCCTGATTTGTTGTCTCAGTTTGTAAGGCACTCTGATAACTTTGAAAGAGGGTCCCAAATGGCACGGCAGCCTCCACAGAACCTTCTTATGAGCATCTTCTCATATCAACGCGCACACACCAAAAAGGTCTGGTTTTAAGAAGGAGCCTTACAGACAGGAAAGTGTTTCACGCCTTGTCTTTGTGTTGATTTCATGACACTGGACAATCATTCACTATTAATACCTCCTGTTGCGGAGACAAGCTGCTAAATGTTTGAAATTTCCTACTTGCCGTCCCTGGGTAATGAGGGTCTCATCTATAATCATACCTGCCTGGGAAAAGCCCCGGTGGAAAATGCTGCAGATGTGGAGGCAGGACACTGTAGCTGGGTTCAGCTTCTCAGTTAGCCAAGAGATGCAGACGTGATATTGAGACTCTTGAAATTTGTATTTTGGACTCATGAGTATTCTGTGAGCAAAGGAGGGAAGAAAACTTAAGAAAGAAAGAACTATCCGGCCAAAATCATTTGGACGCTCCTGATTTCACCAGAGCCAGCTTGCAGACAACTGCAGATGAAGAATTACCTACATATTTCACCACTTAAGGAATATTTCAAGCCTGGCAACCCCAACCCATGGCTATCTGAAATTACCACCACTTCACTCGGCTCTGAAATCCCCTGGAGGACAATTCTGGCAAAGCAAGATGTTCCTCAAGATAGGGATGTCTCCTCTGTATACATAAAGCTTCTCTTTTTTCCTTTCAGTGAATAAAGCTGCTACAGATGAGATCTTTATTTTCCTGAATGCTACAAAAGAGCACCGAATATGCTTTCTAACCTTACTTCTCATTTTATGTGTGTTTTTCTCATGCACTTCCATTATGGATGTATTTACCAAACAGACCTTTGCATGAAAAACAGAGCACTGCATCCACAGCATTAACCTCAGAAGCTGAAGATGGTAAAAACTTCATATTTTGTCTCACTGGCATGTTAATAATAAGCACCAAGCAAGCATCAATCTCCACGGCTTTCTAGAAATTTCATTACGAGCCAGTTGTTGACAAAGTGAATTCTGTGCTACAAGGAAAAAAACAGCACTTCAGGTTTTTTGGAGTTTAGGTTTTATGCCAGTAACACCTCCTCGCAACAGGCGTTCTGTCCTCAGCTTTCCAAACAGTCAGCAGACATCTGTTTCAAGACAGAAGCAGCAGTCAGAAATTTTCAAACATTGATGTGTTAACCCGAGCTGCAAAGCTGGGTATCCTTTTTCACACATGGTCTGTCAGATGGACGGAACGAACCCACTGAAATTAAGAAAGGACTCTTCTGATCAAATTAATTTTAGCTCAGACTATAAACAATCACAAATCTTGTAGTATGAGAGTATGTGAATTCACTGTCTCCCACTGATAATGCTTAAACCTAGATTTTCCTTTTTTCTTTTGAGACTGTTTTTTATGCATTTAGATAAAAAATCATCTGCTATGCTTTCCACAAAAGAATGCAACGCAGTTGGACACTGAAAGGGAAGTTTACAATTATATAATGAACAAAATTGATAGAATGTTTAATAATGTTTTAAAAGTACAACTCTAGAAACCTTTTATGCGTCTGTAATTACTAAACGCTTCAGTGAAAAATGTTCACAACATCCTGGAAAATACTGCTGTTACAGAACACATGGACACGGAAGATAAGAAACCTTGATTACGTTTAGTTTTGGGACCTGAAGAAATAGACTGCTTCTTGATCCTCAGCAGTAACCATACCAGAAGAACGTGTTTTTCATTTGTTTTGTTTTGTTTTTTTTCCAAAGAAAAGACACTGTGTCTACATTTTCAGAAAAACTACAGAATGAGCAGACCTGAAGACGAAACTTCATATTTTTTCAAGTATTTCCTTCAGGGCAAGGTTAAGAGCTCAGCTGTGAAATGACAGATTACCGATGTCATTTCAAGATACAAAGGAAGTCATTTGTTGGAATACAAAAGTCAATTTGTAACTTCTTTGAAACAATTTTTGAAAAAGTGCACTTTCTGATAGAGCACTCTAAGTAGAATGCACTATATTTTAATTTTTAACAAAATTTTATGAGTGTATAAATGTTATGTTCCTGGATGGATGGATGTCTATATGTCTTTTCAACATAGAAAAAAACCTGCAACCCATAATGGATAAACTATAGCTAAATGTAAAAAGTGCATTTTTATAGCAACAACAACAAAAAGTATCATTAACTTCTTTCAGACAGTGATTTTAGATGCTACTTAAAACCAAAGTAGCTACAAATTCTTTGACAAACGCAGAACCAATCAAGTTGGCAGTGTCCCTTTACCAAATCCAGAGCAACATATCTTAAGTGTGATGTTGATAGACCTGCACAGGCTTCAAACAAAATCAGATCTACGTGCTATAATAAACACAACACTAAATATGCTGCATTCATCTTTAGAAGATCGTTACAAATTTGGATCCGCCTCGCAGTGGAGGCTGGAGATTGACAGTGACTCTCAAGGACAGCTGATGAAAGTTTCAGAGACTGCAGACGTGATGTAATTGCATTGGTGGGGAGTTGTCAACCAGTGGCTTAAACCCAAGGACTTACCTTACGCAAAAGTCAAGCAGTGACAATAGACCAAACAGAAATCCGAGGTGACTGAAGCCATTTTACAAATTTCTTTGCCAGTTCCTTAAAGAGAGCTGCTCTCAAAGCCTATTTGCGAAAGGGTTTACCAGCTGAGCTCTACATTTCCACTGGAGATGCAGTTTATAAGAGAAATATGCTATACCAGCAAAAAAAAAAAAAATGTTGCTAGTAAAAGTGCATTTACATTAGGACTTTTGCCAGTATATATACATATGTTTAAAAAATAAAATGAAATAAACTATATCCTTTTAGCAATACTGCTATACTGGTCAATGTTCCAAATGTACACCAGGCCTTGTTTCTGCCTCATAAAAACATCTCCGAAGGATAAATATTTTGACTTATGAATGCACTGTATTACATCAAACAGCAGGTATTATCAACAACATTTTTCTGGTCTTGGATCCTACCTTTCATGAGATTTTCTAATGGTGAATCCATGGATAGCCACATTTTAGCTGCAGAAAAAATTATTTACAGCCATGATAGCATATTCACAAGAATCATGGTATTCTTACTCAGTTAATTACTTAGTCGAATTAATGGCTGAATTTCAACATTCACCCAGCATCAGCCTACAAACTGAAAAATCAGATCCCTTCCTGCACAGTCGATGACAGACTAGGAAATAAATACCTTCCCATGTCTTTAAGGTAGTCGCAGGACTTGACCTAGCCTTCGGAAATGCAGGCACTTGTCACTGCATTATGCAGCAACCATCAGATTTATACAGTTAAACTGCTTTGTTTTGGCACATGTAGGAATCATCCAGATTTGGGACTGTCCAGTAATTTTCATTTTGATTCACAAGGAAGACACAGGAAATAAAACTGAGATGCTGCTGTATATGCAAGTTGGATAATGAATACAATTTCTTCTGTACAGTACTGTGTAAGTGTGAGTGGATATTTAGAGCATACCTCATTGCAAGTTTTCCATCTATTTTTTCCAAAGATTATTTGCTTACAGATGTGCATACACACGTATGAGAAAACCTAAGCGGTAAAGGTTTTAAAAACAACACATCTTCAGTTTTACATATCTAGGGATGAAAAAACAAAAGAGTTCATGAAATGCTGGTGGCAATAAGCTCAGATTGGCCTGACAGCAGGTGAAAGGTACAGGCAAAATTGCTATAAATACAAAAGCACATGTTTTCTCTTTTGTATTTCC